TTTGAATGTTATCTGAAAAACAAAAATATTTGCATCAAGGTCCCATAATGTCTAATGTATATTATCAAGTTGAACAAAATCTATCTGTAAACAGCTGAGAAATGCTTGATTTTTTTGATTTTTTAGCACAAAAATGGCCGCCATTCGGCCATCTTGAATCAGATCGTAAAACAAAATGATGTTCATCAAGGTCCTATAATGTCCAATGTATATACAAGGTTTGAACAAAATCCATCTGTAAACAGCTGGGAAATGCTTGATTTTGATGATTTTTAGCACAAAAATGGCCACCATTCGGCCATCTTGAATCAGATCGTGAAACAAATTGATGTGCATATGTATGATATCATGTATGATGTATGTGTGAAGTTTGATTGTGATTGGTCCAGGCATTTCTAAGATACAGGTCCGGACGCACGCACAGACGCACGCACGCACACACACACAAGCACGGAGGTCAAAACATAAGTCCCCGTTTACGAACTTCGTCCGACGGGGACTAACAATGCATGCAGTGTTCATGATAGTAGCGTGCACATTTTCCAACTGTCTAGGCAATGTTTGCATGTGCATAGAATGAACATTCTATCACCTCACTGTAAAAAGATACATCGCATATTCTTGCTTTTGCACCGCCCTTTTCTGAATAATTCTGATACTGAACAATGTGCACATTGGTTGACCAAATATTTTTGTCTTTTCTGTACTTTTATAATCGAGCAATAGTAGTTAATTAATCTGGGCCACGTAAATATATACATACATTGTACATACATACATACATGTTTAAACTTGTTGGAGCATGGAGGTAATCTCGTTCTAACTCTATGTTGAAACCAAACCAAGAGGCATATTTCATGTTTACTAAACTGACTTAAAAGGTGACGTCACCTCGCAGCGCGTGTTTGAAATTCAAGTCAACAAACTATCTATTTTACACACGTTGTGTTTGTAGCTATGAGTCCCAAATCAAACAGGACGCAGCGTGACGACTACCATCATTTGAAAATTGACACACATTGCCAGCCTGTCTACTTTGAAAATAAGATAAACCTAAACAAAATAGGCTGTGCCAATCGAGGACAGTTTAGAATGCCAAAGCAGTCATTGTGAATGGTTGTCTTCGTAAAATTTATTGTAATTTATACTTTGGTGTTATGATCTGTTTTTATGTCGACTTACACAATAGTTTCGCATGTGCTGATAACCTCTCCCCCTTCAAAAGAATTTACACTCCACAATTTTTTAACCCTTTTACATGGACGTAACATGTAAAGTCTGTTTTTCGGTTACGTTGATTTAGGTTACGTTAGCATAAAGAAACACAAAACCAGATGTGAACACGATATGCAACTTGTATTACCAGTACACAGATTAAATAAAAACTATAAGTATCACAAAGTACATCTTGTGAAAATTGAATAACGTATATTAATTGACGACCACAAAAAAACCCCAAAAAAACACTATTGAGTCCTAGGCATAGAATAAATTGCTAGGTTTTTTTTTAAATCGATCACGAATAAATCCTGGTTGGCAATTTTAGAGTTTCTACAATGTTCCATTGAAGCTATGAGGTTATTGACGCCATCTTTCACAGCAACAAATAATCATACCGTAATTCAACTAGACCTCATGCTGCAACAGTGCCCTCACAAGGTAACGCACATTGTATGTAGTAATGAAAGACCTTTTCTAAGCTATGTACATGAAAAGCTTCATTCCATACAATACAAGTGTAAAATTGAGTTTAAGTGCAGGATGATATGCTAATTAATCCCAATCTAAAAAAAATTGGTTTTAACAAAACCACATGGTATGTATAAAACAAAGAATTTGATGACAACAGCTTCTGATATAATAAAGCTAATTCCAATCTTATGATCATACACAATAAATTCATCACTTCAAATTTAATTATTTTTAGTAAAAAGTGTATCAATAATTGACATGTCTATATCCTGGGCTAAACCAGCATGTAACAACCATTGACTTCAGTCTGTATAACTCAGCATGAGTGCCATTCAGACTGTTCAGACAGCATGTAGTCTAGTAATCATGATGTTCTTTCCGCTCAAAATAATAATCCTCATGATAAAATAGATTAAGGTATGAAACAACAAATTATATCATCAAAAAACGACAAAATATTCAATTTGATTTGATCATCAAGTCATTGCGTGTAGTAGAACCGAATTACATTAAAATAAATGACTTTATGCATACATTGCTACAATGTACAGCATATGTTACGTCCTTGTCATGATGAAATCTGACGAGCAGACCTCTCTGTCATGTCACAATGAAACTATTACACAATGATCATGTCACATTACATGTATGTTCCCCATTAGCTGCCATATGAAGAAAAAAGATGATAAACATGGATATGAAGAAAGGTCAAAATATAAAATACGGTCTCATAATGGACACATATAGATTGTAGATTAGACATCTGTTATAGGTATTACATACGACTAGAAGCCCACTTACACGTATGTATACATGCACAAGTGAAATATGACATTATAAATATACATGCAGCATACTGGAGAAAAAAAATGTGAAATATTTTGCTATAGGCCAGGCACTCCTAACAAAAATGCTCTGCAGATCTTTCAAGAGAAAATCCAGAGATGATGATCTAGCAATATGTTTTTTTATGATGAAACAAGCAAAGAGAACAGGAAGGTACAAACATGTACTCTTAGACTAATAGAAAAAATTTGCACATTAGAAACTAACAGCGAATAATACAGTGGGATTCAGCAATTCTGTATTTTGAACTTGTACATGCAATCTATTGAAACGTATTGAAAACACTAACTGTAACTGACAGCTCCATTTGTGTAACTAATATGTCAAATACAAGAGTCAAAGCTCTATGTCCCTGGCTGCCTAGCAATGAGTAAACTGATATTGACTATGACTTTTATTGGTCAGGTGACAAGGACAAACAATGATCATATCTGTTATACACCTGGCGTATAATGGTTCATTATTAATGTGAAGAAATTAATGAATAATTCTTGATGTTTACTCAAAACATCAACACTTAAGACATGACCTTTGAC